AAAACACATTTTCCAGGAAAAAACAATAAAGGATGGGCATCGTTCTCTTGATTTTTGCAATACCGAGCCTGGCCTTTTTTTCTGCTCGGTTACCAAGTGGCTCGAATGTGACGTTCAGTCCTTACTCTACAGAGCGGATCTTTTGAACACGGGCCCTTCTGGTTGGCTGGCGGGCCGTTCACACGCGCCGCTCAAGAGGTGACAAGGCTCACGGGGCGCTCGGGCTTTGTGTCTGACGGTTAACGCCGGAACAAATTCTCCGTGTCACCTGGATCCACCATCCACTCCGCCCTATCAGCGGCAGAACTTAACGAGCTTACGGCGAAGGTGAACCCTGATGAGATAAATAATCAAATACAAGCGCGATCTTTATTAATAAGTCAGCGCCGGCGCCACGCGAGAAATCTTTTGATGCTAGAGATCCTAGGGTAGGGTCGGCACAGCTGCAGAATTTCAATGAGATACCTCTGTATCTTTAATTTATGCCAACGTCTCCCTGAGCGCGATTTTCTTTATTCGAAAACAGACAAATGAACACAAGCTATCTTTGTGAGTTACACCCACGTGGACCTCAAATGCAATGTATATCCCTCGTTTCTATGTTTCGGTGTGTGCGTGGGCAGGGGAGAAAATTATCCAAGACAACGATGCCTGCCTCTCTCCTTTTTCCATTCTACGAAGATACAGACTTCCTCTTCCTGTGTTCAGCTTATTCCAGACTTTTCCTTCTAGGCGTGTGGGGCCAACCTCCCCTCCCACGCAAAGCCTAGCGGGGAGCTGGCTGAGGGCAGAGGGGGCTTGCTGCCCACGGTGACATGAGTGCCTGGTCCCCGTGCCCTTCTGCCTGCAGGGTGGCCTCAAGGTGGCAGGCTGATCCTGTGTTCCTTCCGCTGGGCGACATCCAAAATAGGAGGGAGATTTTGTGACAGTTCTGAGAAGCTCCCAAAGTTGCCTGAATCGCTAAACCAGCCTTAGGGGGGATTTAGAAATATAAATATATACATACGTATATGAATTTATGACCAAATGCGTTCCTCTAAGTCACGCTGTGTGGATTTCTTTCCCTCCACCTGAAGGCTGAGAGGAAGGCTCTGCTCATATACATGTATATACTTTATGGCCGGGCATGGGGGCTCACGCCTGTCATCCTAGCACTCTGGGAGGCCGACGCAGGAGGATCGCTCAAGGTCAGGAGTTCGAGACCAGCCTGGGCAACATAGCGAGACCCCGTCTCTACTAAAAAAAAATAGAAAGAAATTAGCTGGACAACTAAAAATATATAGAAAAAATTAGCTGGGCATGGTAGTGCATGCGTGTAGTCCCAGCTACTTCAGAGGCTGAGGCAGGAGGATCGCTCGAGGTCAGGAGTTCGAGACCAGCCTGAGCAAGAGCGAGACCCCATCTCTACTTAAAAAAA